CCCATCCTCCCTCCTCCTCCTCCTCCTCCTCCTCTCCTCCTCCTCCTCCTCCATCCTTCCTCCTCCTCTCCTCTCTTCCTCCTCCCCTCCTCCTCCCCCTCCTCTCCCTCCTCCTCCCCCCTCCCTCCTTCCTCCTCCTCCTCCTCCCTCCTCCTCCTCCCCCCCTTCCCTCCTCCTCCTCCTCCCCTTTCCTCCTCCTTCCTCCTCCGCTCCTCCTCCTCCTCCCTCCTCCTCCTCCTCCTCGCCTCCTCCTCCCCTCCTCCTCCTCCTCCCTCCTCCTCCTCCTCCTCTCCTCCTCCTCCCCTCCTCCTCCTCTCCTCCTCCTCCTCCTTCCTCCTCCTCCTCCTCCTCCCTCCTCCTCCTCTCCTCCTCCTCCCTCCTCCTCCTCCTCCTCCTTCCTCCTCCTCCTCTTCCCCTCCTTCTCCTCCTCCCCCTCCTCTGATAAGATTTGCTTGGACGAGATTTGATGGTCCAAAGGAATAATCCTCCCTGGACTTGTTGCTGTACATGTGGCCACGCCATTACAGCACTTCCGCCATTTTCATTTTTATACAATAATTATTTTCTTCCTGACGGAGGTAGCCTTTGGACTGTCGAAACCATTTACCTTCAAACCAAACGAACCGATTACATTACTGACATAGACCCTTGCCTTTTCCCATTTCTCTGGAATTCCTGACGGAATAAAAATTTACGCTTCAATCACATGTACATATAATAGAATTAATTGTGCAGTAATTGTAGCAATAGCTTTGGAATTGAAGTTAATTGATTTTAATGGCTGCAATGAATAACTCATGCGTCATGGAAAATTTCCTATCCTAAAAACATTTCCTCGAAAGACTTCACGGAAGTTCTGTCTGAGTTTCGTTTTCATGCACTCTCGTCTATTTTGTTCAACTCTGTAAAACTACTCTCATTAGTCGAGAATGATCATATTTTCAAATAGGAGACTATTAAGAAAACGTCATAGCTAGACATCTAACTGTGAGAAGAAGTTCGCATGATCTTCACATCCGCGTTTGCGTCAGAAACGTCACTATTTATTATTTATTATTTTTGGTCACAGTATGCCAAGGAATATAGGAGACCACAGCAACCCCAAGGAAAGGAATACCTAAGTGGCCATGGAAGCAACATTGTTTGAGGGAAAAATTTTTGGAGTAAATGTAGGGAAAACTGTATTGAAAAATTTGTGATGCTTCATATCATTTTTATCAATTATAAGGAAAGAACATCAGGCTTTCACCTATGTCGCAGCGTTATTCGCTCTTGTGTGTTGCAGCGAATAGCCCCACCCATTCTGCAGATGCCCGGACTTTTTTTAAAATGACGCGATTGCCTATGGTAGAGTCTTAGTAACTGGCTGGTTGGGGTCTCTCACGTCTCTCATTGTCAGAACGTAACCCTAATGTGCCAGACTGAGATGAGCCACGCGTTTCACTTGCATTCCGAGTGTTGGCATCTCTCATACGCGTGTAAGTCTTTTGGCCTCTACCGTGAATTGCGGAAGCCAGCCAGTCTACAATTCGATACTTTTACTTCCCCCCCCCCTCCTCCTCCAAGCAAGCCTAGTACCAGATTAGCGCTCGTGCTCGAACAAGTTTGGCTAGATCAGACGAGAGCCGTCCTGGATCAGATCCGCGTTGTAAGCGGTACCACTTGAAACTACAACACATCCTTTTAAGTAAGCATCTAATTAAAACACGAGAAGTTTTCTAAGGAATAGCAAGAATTATAATTTACGGCAAAACGTTTTGCCCTTGCCCCAGCAAGGAGTTGGACCTGATCTCACTTACCCGACATGGCGTGCTAGCAATTACACTTCAAATCTCGGAAATGGAGTGGGCGTGGCTGCGTAGTTCGTCCGAACCCGGCGGGTTCTCGGGATATTTTTGTTTCGCAACTTGTGAATACGTCTTTATCTAGAATAGGAAGGATAGCACTCGTCTCAAATGGAAATATCCCGCGAGAAAAGCATCCCATATCATGTTTAAGTGGATTCCACAGCCACGCCCTCTCCAACGCAGGAACATGGGGTGTACGTCACAGAGCCCACCGCTTGCGCTCTAAAGGCACGTTCCGCGATAAACTAAGGCTAGGTTCTCATGACCGTGCACGATGTCAAGCAAGCAACGTCAGAGGCTATACCGCTTTTAAAAGTTGAAAAACAACAAGCAAAACGCAGCGCGCTCAGGTTTTAGGCCCATTGGCGCCCGATAGGCCCATGCCAGCCTCAGTGACCGTGTCGTTGTGACATTGCCATTGCGCTCTCTCGCCCGTCATTTTCTTGTCTCTCTCGTCCCTTAGCAGTGTATCGCCGCCTTTTGCAATCCACAATCGATCTTGACCACCTTACTCGTCCAGTGATCATGATCAATTGCAATAAAGAGGGTCTTATTGCGGGCGCTTTTCCGTGCTTCCTTCTCCTTCAGTAAGTCAACAAAAACACGGCAGTTTTATTTTTGAAGTGTATTGCATATGAACTGTGGTCGCGGCAATTGCCTTTAACTTTATGAAATTTACCCTAACTTCCAGCACTCCCACGTAAAAATGAGTTGCACTCATTTATGACTGTATCTTCCCACGCACCTGAAGGCAGGTGCAAAATTACCCCATCGAATATATTTGTTCAGTAATGGTGAATAAAAAAACAATTAGATAAAGTACATATAAAAGGCTGCCTATTGACCCTTTACAAGATTCAGTGTCATGCTTTGTCCCATCCAGCTTATAATTATTTATTCATTTAATAACTATGAGCTCAATGATTTACTTTAAATTATTTAGCTATCACTTAATTAAAGAAGAAACTTCTAACGCAAGGTGTTCTCAGTGCCCTCTATATCGCGATGACTATGGGGGCGTGGCTGCGTATTTCATTTGAACGCAGTAGAGGCTGCTCTTCTGCTGGGCTGGTACTGCTTTGGGACAATTGCCGTCGTACTCGCTCTCTACAGAACAGATGCAGGTGTGTCAAATCGAAGTATCCCACGAGAAAGGCCAAATTCAAGAGTGTACTTGCATTTTCGCAGTTTGCAAGTTGTGGGTGTCCTTAAGACTTCTATCATGGCTGATGTGTAAAAAAATTTCTGGCTATACCCTATCGATTTTTGCTACGAAGTTCGCGACTTCCCGCTTAGGCGTTTTCTGAACTTAAAGACACATTCTCTCCTTTCGCTGCAACGGATAGTGTGCCACATTGGTGCTACCAACCAACACATGTACATGTCCTAGGATTTGAGAATTGTTTGGGACTTTTGTTTTTCTTGTCCTTCTCTTCTATCCTTCTTTGCTCATTACTCTCATTGAAAAATACATTTTCGTCCTCGGAACGTACCAGAAATTTTCATGGGATTTTTTGCCGCGTATTTCACTACACTTACGAGTGAAAGCAATCAGGGTCGACTGCAGAAATTAAGGAGAACTTCTTCTAGGCTTTCGGGTCTCTATTCTCAAACTTTTCATACTCTTTAACAATTTCAGTCATTCGTCTTGCACTTATTGTAAGCATTTGTTGCCTTCTCTCCCGTTCGGTTCAGCAACTTGGCTTAGTGCAAGAGATTTCTTCATGAGTGTCCCGAATAACAAGCATGCATTGGAAGACATACCTCAAGTCTTCTCAAAAGTTTAATCATTGAATTCTCCCTTTTCGTCACAAATCACTCCTTCCCATAAAGCAAAATAGTTGGGCGGGCCGGGGAGGGGGCGAGTGTGGTTGGAGGATGGCGATTATCCCATGTCATGTCATGCCTTGTTTCTTTGCCATGTCGATTTCCGTAATCGATTTCCACCCCGAACTACGCCTGCAACTATTTCAGAAAAATTTTCGGAAGTTCTATCGGAGAGAGGACACAGACGATTAGACGCGAAGCGTCATGGTCGCTGTCTCCGTGATTCCTCTTGAGTGGATGAAATCCGCTACGTGGAGGTCGTCAAGTACGAACAGAGTACCGAATTCCGCTGTAACTCTGCAACAAAAATGTCAAACCTATTACGAGGACGATGTATTCTTGTTTTCAAATCCCTATAGATCTTCGATTCACGTCATTTCTGAACGAAGTTGAGTCGTCCATGAAACGCCAAAAAAAACGTTTTTGCAAAAAGTTTCTGCGCCATTTCGGGCCGAGGCTGCCACGAGATAGTTAGCGTATTTTGTGTAGACCCTTCCTAGCGACTACGATTCCCGCTTGGCAAAAAAATCGTCTGCGGATGAAGTCATACAATATTCAAGAGGGGTGGAAGCTCTATGGAAGTTCACTGGGTCTTGCAGCGCTCCAGTCTCACAACACGCGACCAGCAGCAGAAACAAGACAGCTGCACGAACGGCCAAAAAGGGGGAGGGGGTTCATATCGACTCCCTCCCTTGTGAGGATCGTTCCGACTGAGCGATTTTCCACGGCGCATTTGACCGTGCTCCTACCCCTTGCTCAGCCACCTTTGACCCTTTTCAGTTTGGCATTCATTTGATAGACGGCATTTACAATCACATTTTCATAGAATTTCTTCACGCCCCTTCGAGATTCTTTTACAAATAAAATGTGAGCAATAAAAAAGCTACTGCTCGTTCTGAGGCCTAGGCTTGAGACCTGCAGAGAATATAATCGTTTGGAATTCCCCAACAGGAGTGGGTTCGTGTTTGTTCTGAGAAATTTCTTTTTTGATATTTTTCTCGTTCTACGGACGTCTTGTCATACCTGCTAAAGTTGCAGTCTTTTCACGTGGGAGGGAGGTTTGGGCCAAAAAATGCCCACTGACTCAGTGAAGCATATCCCACGCAACACAACCAATATCTGCACTTTGTAAAGCTTTCGCACATTTTTTCTAGGATAATGGCGAATGTTTCTTGGGAGAATCGAAGTGCACTGAGTAATTTTTCACCCAATGAGAGCTTCTCTCCAATTATTTCAATATCATTCTAGCCTCTAAAAGCCGAATGCCATTGGCTTTTCTTGTTACACTTTGCTGCAACAGTTATACACTGTAGGTCATTCGCTATAATGAAATGCGGCTTATATGATCTTCATGGTCTCATGGTACGAATTAAATTAATTATTAATTGATCAAAAACTATAATTCGACAGTATGTGTAATATAATTAGCGACATCATTAATTGAAAGGTCACTTCATATGAATACTACATCTCTTCATTTTCAAAGTCTCACAATTAGTTTATTAGACCAATAGTGCGTCAACCAGTGTCTTTGTTCCGCAATCAGGTGCGTTACAGTACCTTTCCCTTGTCATCCCGGGAGATGCCGCCCGTAATTCCCTTCTCACGGAAAAGCGTCTCCTGCACTCCAGTGCTGTAGGCTCAGTAAAGTCTTTTAACAATTTCATGATGCTGTTCCAGTACGATGGCTGCTGATTAATGCCGCAGTTCGCGCTCTCGTCCAGAGTCTGACTTTTCTCAGAACTCATGCTTTTTGTAGGTTCATGAAGGTCATCTGACGGTACTACTTGACTATTCCAATCAATTTGGAGAAACAGACGATTGTTTAAGTGGAATCACACGATAGCTGCCAGTTGAAGCTATATTCTGCGATAAATGAATGGGCGGGAAATCGCATCCATTACGCTTCCCAGAGCAGTGCGTTCCCTTCAGTGTGATGAAGGTGAGGGAAACGTCAGTAAAGCACAGTTGCCCTGTGTTTCCAGCCAATCTGCCAATGTTTGTGAATGGATTCTGCAGGAAGCTTTACAAAACTACAATTCGTGGGCAGGGTGTGACACCAAATATGATATATAAGTGTGAATGTGAGGTGTTTCTGGATCCAACAGACAGTTTCAGGACGCCTGAATGAGCACTCGAAACGTTTTTCTACCACTGCTTGTTTTCTAGTGAACGCGGCCACTACTGGTAGAAAATGCAGCCGAGAGCGGGCTCATTGCACGCCCCCTCACACCGCCCCGTGTGATTCAGACGACATCGGCTGGCGTGTGAATTTACTCTCCGAAACAAAGTTACCGTTCTATACAAAAAAGGGTAACTGTGATCTATAAATGAAACCTGTTGTCACCGGAAACTCATTTTTTTTTCAAAAATCAAAATTCAACTAATCAGATCTGGCTATTCAGGCTAGGTGAAACGTCCACCAATCAGTTGCTCAAATAATTAGTTGCAAAGCGCTCAACACATGGCTTATTGTTAGATGACTCTGCAGAACTTTGCAGAAACTCGCAAATTTTTTGCACTTTCTGCATGTTTCCCAAAACACATTACTGCAGTTTTATGGTGTTTTTACGGCATTACGCCGCAAAATTCACGTACTTGTTTCTCACCGGAAATTACATTTGAACGTCGCGTAAGGGTTTCAGAGGAAGTGTTTACGTTATGCGACGAATTAAGTAATGTAAATATAGCTGCTGGAGGCAGAAATGACATTTCTGTCAAGTCCGACTTTTGCCAGTATCACTTATTCCTGGGTTTTCCCTATTGCGCCATCTGCATGGGGGGGGGGGCAAATAAGGGCACTTCTCTCATAAGACATTCGCGCAACTTATTTCGCATCGAGCGGTGAAGTGGAATACTGTGGTCGTTCCTCATCCAAATTACTTCAGAATCCGACATCCCTGGGATCATAGAGCGCTTGACAGTCAACCTCACCTGTAGGGTCTTCTCTTGGGAAACAAATCGTGAACCGTAGCGACATTGTTCAAGCAGCTGAACGGCTGGTGTACTTCAGTGTCACAGCGACGGTCTGTAAGACAAGGTACATCATCTTTGTGTAAATTCCATCAAGGGATCGCATTTGGTCGCTGTACAAGGGGTCCGCATACGTCGTCAAGAACGCTTTTAGCGCGGCTCGCTAAAAGGCGGGCGGGTAGAAGCACTTTACGAGTTGCCATCGACGTGGAAACCTGTGAACCTCTGTGAGGCCACGAAAATGCTACGAAATGACTATCAAGTCAGCGAAGTTTGAGCAGGCCAGTTGTGAAGAAGGAATTTTGAAAAATATCGGTTACTAAAGCTAGTGTACATATAGCGATAGCGGTAGGTTGTGATGCTGTAAGCCTTGTTGAATCAGGTCTCAACAATAGATTGCATCAACTTCTTACAGCGACGTAGCAGTACAGGCCTTATGAATGGATATCTTAGAAATCTATGTTTCAGCCTATTTTTTCCTTGCACCTTGTCACTCTGGGAAACAACTTCTTTAGCAGAGCGCGCCATAGTCTACACTCGTGACCACTGAATTCCGTCGGGGCGTATCAGCGGCGCCAGGGTTTTCGCGCGGCACTGCACGACAATGACTGTAGGTGCTTTTTTGTCTTCCTACTTACTCCAAATCCCTGAAATGTGTTAGGCGGGGCGGCGTACTTCAACCAAACTTCGCGGTGGTCAAGCTTTTGATGAGATATTTTCATTTTGGCACAACTGTAGTCGTGTCTCTGTCCAGCACTAAACAAGATGGCAGTTCTCTCAAAAAGAAATATATCACGAGTAACCTATTTCATAACAACTTCAAGTACCACGCCTACTCCGTCTCAGGGATAAGGTATATGGAATCCCACGTCCGTGATTACGGCCAACAATTTCACTGGGAAATAAAGCTCATCTGACTGATTCGGTGTTTTTGAACCTCCACGAAAACCTTTCCCTGGCTCACCTTCATTCCTCGAAATAGAACGTATTCTAGATGACGACAGTAATCATTTCATCACTCTGTACTTGTATGTATAGAGTTGTTATCCGAAACTTACTGAAACAACTTGTCTAATTGCCGTAGCAAGCTGATTATCCTTTTTCAGTGGATCATAAAACATTTTTTATTGAAGCCGCATCTTTTTTCACTGCAATTTTTTTTCGACAGTTTTCCATGACTGCAGTCACATGACGTGCGTAATCAGTAGGTATTTTTTTAACAGTCTTCTTCAACAACTGGGTGTTGAAATGACGCAGTTCCAATTTCCGAAATCCTCATATCGTACGGTATGAATCAATACAGAAAATGACTTCAGTTCCACGAGAACAAAGGCTCTTCTGTACCATGCTGAGAATCTGGTTTATAACCAGGGGGCACCATTGCTGGAAATTCCCATCGTGGAAAGGGGGGGGGGTCGTACTTGACCTTGGGGGATTCTTTCATGACTGTCAATCTTGAACCGCTGTTAGGGGAGTATACATAGCTTCTTTGATCGGTGACCCGGTAATTTGCTATAGTATTTCTGATGGTTCTATGAAAAAATGCCTGCATACAGAGAGGGAGAAGGAGGGAACGTTCTGACCAGGGTACAGCATCGTTATATGTGAAATGGTGGTGTCAGTACGAATCCCCCCTCTCAAGGGAGGGTCTTGGTAAGACCCCCCCCGCCTAAGGGTCGGTACTGCCCCCCCCTTCCCCAGCACCTACCCACCAATTCCACACCACATTTTCCAGTTTTTTGCCCAAAAAGTTTTCCTCGAGCGGGTAGGGAGTACATATACACATGAAACGGGAAAATCACGAAAAGATAACACCGAAAAAAATGTTTTCCCAACACGGCAAATTTCTCTTCAAAGGCACATACGACCTCCCTCCTCCTCACCCAGCAACCAAATACGACCCCCTATCCAGCGGAAAAGTACTTCCCCCTTATGTGTTTCATACAACGATGCTGTGCCCTGGTTCTGACTATTCTCGCCATCGCCATGGTGTACCTTACAGCACCACTACTTCTCTGAAGGAAAACACTAACCAATTCTTCCATGCTCACCCTTGAGCAACTGACATACGGTTGAACATTTGGATTACGGTAAACAACTTAACTTAAAGATATACTGTACTTGAATCAAATTTTTATGTAAAGAGTAAGTTTGCATGAAGATGTGAGTCAGCTACTAGAAGAGCGATGCTCCCATACCTTACACCTCTTGTCTGTTCAAATAGTTAGAGATATGTGGAAAATCGGGGTGTTATTTGTTTCAAGGAGGGCCACTCACCAGTAATGATTTAAAGCGGCAAGGCTGCATCATGCTGTCTAGGGCGAGCAGAGCATGACGTGACTCAAACTTCCTGTTACTTGAGATAGACGAAGTTAATAATATCAAGTAAACAAGATTAGAGTAACAAGTAAGGAGTAAAAGGGGAGAAACCAATCTATTAAAGCTCTTGTACCACGATAGGGCCATTTGGAAAGTGGCAAAGAGGAAATGAATTCGTTTCGGCTTCTATAATCTTTCTCCTGATGAAACAGTGACGAGGTGAGTCTACGTCGCGTTCTGACGTTGGCTAACCCATGTCAGAATGTATAATTCTGTCTCGGTGAGACGGCGCAGACGTGCAGACTGACGTGGCAAGAATACGGCATTTTGGTCGTTTGCCAGTTCGAGACAAGCAGTAGTCTCTGAACCTTCAACACTGAACGCCGTGTACATTCGTTTGCTGGCGTTTTTTGTTGGCGCGGAAATACGTCAAGAGAAAATTTCATAAGCAAATTAAATAGTATAGCATGCGACTTTTCGGAAACCTCCAAAAACCAATCGGTAGATATATTCCTAATTCTGAGGATAGAGCGGAAGAGGTTCGTTCTTCACTTGAACATGAAGTATTTCCATTTGAAAAACTTCTTATCATGTTTTGTGCTCGCCAGTGGCAAGCACAGCCACCACCACGTTTACATGACATGTGCACCCGCGCCCTCCCCATCTTCTGCGACAGGGCTGGAGCTAATACCACACTAGCTCGGTGAGCCTGAGGTGCGAATTTTAAATTTAACTCAGCGTGGAACGGTAGCGAGATTTTTACGGGTGGAGGATGCTGGATACCCTATGGTAACGCAAAGCACAGTAGTCCTTCCAATGGCGAACCTTCATAAACGCAAAAAAAATCCTTTCCGTTTGGTGGACGCAGAGCGCGACGTCCTTCAGCTACCTTAAAGTCAAAAACACCCTCACTACCAGAGCCCTCATCAGCGCTAATATTTTCTCTTAGTTCGACGGAGCATGAAAGGGCTGACCTGCCATGAGTTACTGGACTCGTGAGGTATACTTGCTGAATGGCAACGCGCACCGACATTTCGTTCAGGGCACATCAGCGTTATACGTTGGGATCCCCAGTGAGGGGGTCGTATTCGGTCGCTGTAAGGATTCAAGGAAATATTTCGTTTGTTGACTTTTTTTCCGTTTCGAGTGCGTGTTATACCCCAACCTTCTCGAATGCAGTTCTTCGATTTTTTGGGAAACTAGTGGAGAGATTTCTAGAAAGTACTTCAGAGAAGTAGTAGGAAGTTGGGGAAATTCTGGAAGTCGTAGGTACGACGAGGGATGGGGAAGCGGGTTTCACCAGAGGCGCAACTTTGGACGGAGGGGGGGGGGAGGGTTAGGGTCGCGATTCCGCAAAGAACGCCCCGACGGCGTTTCGTGTCGTGCCTAACGGAACATGAAAGAGACTGAGTTACCAAGATTCACCGGATTCCCTGTGAGGTATGCCTACCGACTGACAATTCACGACCATATCGCTTCAGCACCTACAGACATTTGACGCTATATCTCGGGGCATGGCTGGAAACAGCGCACCAATTGTGGTTCCCAAACCCTTCCTTTCTAGCTACCATTTCTTCCGGCCGCTAAAGCGTTATTTCGGAAAGACAGCTTGAAATGTTTGAAAAGAAATGTCATGATTACTTCCAAATGGCCGTCGCAGGCTTTTTTTGGGTCACAGGGCTTGACTTCTAGGCAAAAGGCATCAATGATTTGCTCTAAAGGAGGGGGATTATAACTGTTCTCGCTTATAAATCATGTAGCTAACGTTCGATCTAATTAAAAAAGTGACAAGTAATTCACGAATATTGTCATTTAATTGGGGAAATCCTCTGCCAGCCTAATTAATCGAATTCACGAAATCTTCTCCCGGATGACTTTTTCCTGTATGATCTTCGAGTGTATGCAGGATGCTTTTGTCAAAAATATTTTGAGCATCGTTGTGGTCATCAAATTTATATTACTAGACGAAGGGTGCATTTCCGTCAATTTTGTGCGCTGATTGGTTCTCTTGTAAGCAATCGATCCTCTCATATCTTCAAATTTATTTGAATGCATATTTAGGAATCAGGGCTCAGGTTTATGTTTTACTACGAACCTACTAGCTTTGTAGACGGAAAGTGTAATCTCCCACAATGCCTTGGTCCGTCCTCCGGCCCAAGTCTTAATGCATAGTCTTTATGATGAACTCATGCGAACAGCCTCTTAGACCCGGCACATCGTCGGCTTGGCTCTCAGCCACAAGCGGCATTCACCTACGCTCACTGTTCACTAATACTCTGTTGCTTCTTTTAGTTCATCAAGAATTTCATTACAGATCTGGATTTTTTTAATCTAATTTGTCCGTTTTTGTCAAGTAACCTTATGTAGTAAGTACAGCTGTATATTTTTGTGCAGTGTGTTGGACTAAGGATTATCCTTCCGAAAACTTCGACCAACGACTTTGACGAGTGAGCCCAGATGGGTTAAATGCATTCCAACGTAACCAATTAGCCATAAATTCGGGTTTAGTATGTACCAAATGGACCACCGGGTTACCCTCGTTCCAAAAATATTCACGTGAGCTATAGCAACTCTTTCGAATGCTCACCATCGGATTGGAATTCGGAGAGAAACAAACGAAGAGCCCGAATGCCTGTGGGCGGTTCCATAGCTACACGACGGGCCATTAGGAAGAACTGACGCTCACCCTCTACACTCCTCCCCCCAACAGGGAGAGATTCTCTCGCAAGGCAAGGCGACTATTAGGGGTTGCTAAGCCAATCTAACTAGTAGCTATGGAGCCCAATATAACACAGGTATGAGATTTTCACATTTATTTGAATACTTCCACAATATGCTTGCGTACCACTGCTATGCCCTGCAGGCTTTATTGGAGTGCATTCGGATTAGCCATGCCCGTCCTCCCACGATAAATTGCCTCCTTACTTCTAGGATCCTTAACTGTCTAGTTACATTGTTTTGAATTTTGAAACCTTTTGAACTTTAGAAAAACCTAGGTTTTTAATTCTTCCTTTCTGAAATCCATGTCATACACCACACCGTCACTGCTGACTGCCAGCCAGCCTCAAGAGCGCCCTTACTGACCCCTTTTTTACAATGTTCAAACCTTTACTAGGTTAACTGCAATAACTGCTTACTTTACTGGTTGACTAACACATTAGTACACCAAAGTGCATGTACTCACACAAATTGTTCTCTATTCACTTCAATTTCTATTTTGGTCCACTTAACTTTGAGCGCTTCTCAGCTCAAATATGCGTGACGTGATTTTTTTCTGAGCTTTTTTCACTCCCAATGGATGAAAAGCGCCGATATTTTACGGGATTTGTTCTCATGGCACGTCAGTTGCTCCTACAAACTATCACAACCGGGGTTCTATGGCCCGCGTAAGTTAGCAACCTGATCCCTTTTGGTCGCCTCCCTGTTCCGAACATCAACCTGCACAGACCTTTCATTGTCTTTTACCAGTTTTCTAGCATTTTGGAACGTGCACCATACTATAACCTTTTCTAACTTGGTGTTTTTATGGGTAAAAATAGAACTGCTTTAGAAATAAATAAACAATAAGTGGAGAATCTTAAGTAGAATTAACCATGTGGTGATGGATCGTCTGGGACTACTCTGAAGAAGCGAAACGGGCCGTTTGTTAAGGAGGGTGTTCTTTTTCCAATCTTTCCTTTTTTCTGTTTCTAATTGATTTCAAGAAGTCCCCCCCCCTCAAGAACATCTGCTGCTTTGAAGTCACCAAGTCAAGTTTGAAAGCTCAGACTCCTAAACAGTAACTACAATGTACGTGCTTCTCAGAACGAATATTTGAGGTTCCTCCGGTGCTAATAAACCCCGTTAAATCTCATAATTTCGCCTTTTTTGAACGACATTCAGGTGTTTTATCCGATCCTTTAGGTTATCCCAGGGTCAAGGGTTCAAATGCGATATAAACCATGATCACTAGCGTAGGTGGGTTACCCGGGAATAGTGTAGCGTTCAATGTCCTCAACCCGCTCGGCAATTCTAATCCTGATGATGTTTGATTCATTTGCGGCCACTCTTCTTCACTCTATAAGGGACCATACACACTCATGCATTCATGAAAGAAGCGCCGCGTAATTTTTTCCCACATTTGAAGTCTTGTGTCGAATCAACCAACGGCCAGCTGACATTAACAGCTCGCGCTCATTTCTCTATATGGAAGGGATTCTTAGTATCTGGGACCAATTTTACAAGAACTTACTGCTATATGCGGATGAGGTTATGATCGCAACGTAGAGTAGTTGAAACATCCGTGAACAAAATTGAATTGGCAGCAAAACGTTGCAAACTTGTGTCTGCGACCCAATAGAGCTATGATCAGCGCGGGAACTTTGGGCCAAATTAGGCGTTATTCATGCCTTCAACCATCTTCTTTTATCTGGCCCAACACTTTAATGGCCGAATAGAACAGCAAGTTGGTTTCATTCGAACATGCATGGAGGAGTTTCTTTCAAAGAATGAAGTGAAACTCAAGCGAAACTGAACTCTTCACTGGGATCTTCCCGAGAATAATCTAATTAAAAGGGCTGAGACATTTTAGTAAATGCGCCACCTTACTAACATGTGATTAGGTAACTTCTTGTGAAACGCACTTAGGTGTAGTTCACAAATCCACAACAAGCGTCTTAAAGAGCACTCGAAATACTTGACATTTATCTCTTTTTTTACTCCATTTCTCGGAAACCAAATAGACTAGCGCCTGCGTTGTTAGTTGTTGAGCCAACTCGCTTTGTTTCCCCTGGCTCCTGATAATTTCTAAGAACAACAATAATTTCTACATTAGTTGTTTTAATGGCATAATGCACGACAATTTAGTGCTAAGAAATAGTAGCAGGAGTGCTATATAGAAGGGGAAAATAGCGAAAACGCGACTTTAAACGGCCAAGAACCTGCGGAAAAGCCTTTGCTCTGCACGGCACTGGGCGATTTTGGACAGTTTCCCGTTGGCATCTTGCCAGAAATCGCCTTGATAGATACTGGCTGCACGTATGTGTTTATATATCCAAGTAGCAACACTTCATATCAGTTGTACTTCTAAATCTTCTGAAAGAGTACCAGCGCCGTGACTGTTCGGCCATTTGTGGGCGGGCAGCTGCGATGGGTGTCTGGGTCGGCACGCTGCACCTTAGTTAGGCTTAGGTTATGACGATGCCCTTGGTTGGAAAAGGCGCTACACCAGCCAAGAGGTACAATATTCTCCCGTGCCACGCGTAGCGACCCTGTACGCCTTGTCAATTTATCGTACCAATCGCTTAAGCCGTTTATAATTGTTCAATTCAAATTCTGTCAAAATGGTCCATTGACCAAATCGTCATTTTCGGTGACCGAAAATCGAGTCGAGTTGTCCGCTATCAAATTAATAGTTAACTTACCTTACTTTCAGGATATGGTAATTGGAACGATACACTCTATACGAGATAGTGTTATTAATATATCGGAGACGTTCAGTACGGAATCGCCGTCTATGGCGCAAAATACGACGATTATTCCGACCGTCGAGCTTGTTCTTGGCACCATCACCTATTTGGTGAGTTCATCTCATTGACCCTTTGTGCTTTTTCCGCCGAACTCGTGCTCAACTTGGCGCTGCCCTCTGTCTACGCATTACTTAGATAGCTATTACGCTTTACTGGCTAGTTAGGGTTTATACGTGGTCGAGATAGTCAAAATGCTGTGTTCTCACATTCCATCCACTATCTTCCAAATTTTGCCGTCGATCGGAAGCGCGCGGGTGGGGGGGGGGGGGGATGGTGGGGGTGGGAGAGTAGAAGAGGCACGCAGCTCCAATCAGCTATCAGTACTTTTGGCGCCGTTAATCAAGGTGGAAGTATATAGCGCGTTCAACCACGACTCGCTTTTCCGAGCGACCAAATACGCCCTACTGGTAGGGTCTCACATAACGATGGCCTACGCTGCACCTGGTGACACTTACTCGATACTTCTATACTATTTCGGCGAACTTAGTTGATACCTCTATACCTTAAGTGCCAGTCGATATCCCTATACCTTGACTGCCCCTAGCTGGGCGGAGTGCTCAGTGGGAACAGCAGCTCTTCTAAACCGCTCGATTCCTGGCCCCTTGCACCAAATGTGGTTTAGTGCGCCCTCTGGAGTATTCGAAAGCGGGTCGCACTACTGTATCTGCAGAGGTCCCAGTGGTCTCTTTTTATTGCTTAGGAGCCAATCACTGACGATGAGGCATCCAGACAACATTTCTAGGCTGGTTACTCACTCGATCGCAGTGATGCTTATCGATATCCATCGGTTAAGTCCAGACAATTACATATCTGGAAGAGGTGTCCCTAGTGGTTTGGCCGAAATGCTGTGAATCCTTGAATATACATATGTTTGAATTTTCATCAAATGAAGTCAATTACCAGAGCTGGTCGTATTTTAATTGATAGGTAGTAAAAATGTAATTCACAGTATTTTCGTCGGGCTCACTGAACGAAAGCTGGAATACGCCATCAAAAAGTTGAAGAACCAGAACCGGTGTCATTTTTGGATTTTCGAGAAATATGATTTTTTGATAGAAATACCCTTAGATAGCGAGGATTACCGTATTGTATCATACAAAGTACAACAAAATCGCATCATCTAGCACTCTTCTAGATAATTGAGTTGACCACCTTGAAAAGGTTTCTTCACAAAGATTCATTCACAGTTTAACCTTTTTCTTCTTCCCCATTCTTTAGCTTTGATAATGGATTTCCGCTCCAATCAAATTAACAGTTATCACTAGTGTTTTTACACGAGTGAATTACTTCCTTCCTTCCTTTCTCCGCCATAAAAGATCAGTACATCAACAGTATATGTGCTGAGGATTTCTCAGTGAAAGGAAGGGGGAGTCGTATCTGGCACGGAGAGGATCGGTTCACATGTGGATTTTTGCAGTTTCAGCTGCGCGTTTGAAGCATCCCTGTCGCTGACTGCTCATTCTCAACTTTACTGAACAGAGCTTTATTTCTACCCCCTTATACAAATCGGTAGGGAAAGGAGGGGTTCGTTTTCTGTAGAAAAAAACTTTTGTGGTCGACACGTAGCGCCTTGACTACTAAAGGCCCAACCACTGTTTTAATCAATCAAGCTACTGTCTCCCTATTTCGAAGTAAGCCCTGCAGTCCTCGTTCAATCCGGGGAATGGGAGCAAGGGGTCAGTCGTCTAAAATAGGATAAACACTCCAAAAACATGCGTCGGAGGACAACGCGGAGACAATCTGCTGTGGGCGCAGTCGGATGAGAGGGGGAATTTCGCATTTTTTCTGAATGCTTTTCTTAATTCATGTTAACTAACAGGTCTTCAGACCTGTAAACTCCTGTAGAGCCACCAAATTGTTTGAGTGAGCAACTTAGCCCACAGGACTTTTCGTGTCTTCAAAATTTGGCTTCTGTAAGCTGCTTAGCTGAGTAACACCTAGTGCCCCACCAAATCGAAGTGTACCTCAGCTGTGCTTCCTGGTTTTTCGCCGCCGTTGACTGGATCCTCTATCATTTTCTACCGAATGCCTCATATTTTTCGGACATGCATTTTGAAATTAGCCAATTCATATGGAGGGCTATTACGTAGAATTAACCTGGATGGCTCTTTTTCTAGGCACTTCTGTTGCTATTTAATACAATTTCTTTGCTCTTCAGGTAATCATAATGATGACAGTGGTGGGTAACACGTTGGTCGTCGTTGCGGTGTTCAGCTATAGACCACTCAAAAAAGTTCAAAATTACTTTCTCGTCTCATTAGCCGCATCTGATCTCGCTGTGGCCATATTCGTTATGCCACTTCACGTGGTGAAGTTTTTGGCAGGTAAGTTTTTCAAGTATGTAAGGTGACATTAGTACAAATGGTTGGGTTGTGGTGAGTAATTACACCTACACGGGAGTAGTTGAAAAAGAGATACTTTGCTCATGGATTCGAATTTCAATTCCCACACGGTGGTAAGGTGCGTGGAAATCTACAGTAAAATGTACCCAATACGTCACCATTTCCCTCGCCACTTACCCACTACCTGCACCATTTGCTTCGGGCGAACATATATCAGGGATTCTTCCCGTGAGCGAGGGGCCTTTTTTATTGCCCTCCTCTCTGGATGTGGAAGCGAGAAATGTCCTATGATGTAGTTGACGAGCCTTGGTTTTCGACGGCTGTTTCAGGCTCACCATGATGAAAAAAGTTCATTCTATACTTGTCCTGTATGACTATATGTCCATTTAGTATGGATTGTTGTGTGAAACACAAGGGGGAGGGGGGTGTCGTGTTTGGCCGCTGGTGAGGGGTTGCATGTTGTCCCGAGAGAATTTTTCTGACTGTCGATCTTTTCCGTTTCGCCCCCCCCCCTCCTGATTTCGTGCCACAAAACTCCTGTGTCTCGCAGCTGAGCCGTATGGTCTACTCCCCGGTCGACGAGGAAATTTCGGGTAAAGTTATTCACTAGCAAGAGATTGTGAAAGAGGGGGAAGGTTCGAGGGATTGAGGGAGGGACTGGAGAGGGCGGTAGTGTCTAGCAAAAATTCCGCACAACCCAACGCTGGGTCATAATTGGGTTAAAAGATTCTTGACAGCCATGATTCTTCTGATCATAAGAGTTCGGAGGCATTTGTGGGCCAGTCTTTGCCTGAATCGTTGAGGAAAGGGGCAGCAGGAAGAGGGAGAAAAGAGGAGAGGGGCTAGAGAAAAGGAAATAGGAACAGAAAACTTTGTTTCGTTAATTTTCGCAAAATACTCGACAGAACGCGTCCTGTTCACCCCCGGGCTTTCCTGATCTGGTTCAGCTCCCCTTCCTCAGTCCTACCTGCCATCTTCTTGTGTTTCCCACCGCAGTTTTCTTCCGAGCAAGTTTTTTTCCCAAGTTTTTCACCGAAAAACTGAGAGCGGAGGTAGGAGTAAGTAGAGCGCTCAAAACGGGAAAAGCCGAGGACAGTCAACGACCGTAAAACATTTTTTCTCGAAGGTAAATAGGACCACACTTTCCTCCGGCGACGAGATACGACCCCTCCCCCTTCCCTCGCTTGGGCGTTAGGGGCCCCAATAGATGACGTGCCGTGAGCAGGAACGGGAATGAGAACTTCGCAAATCTACCCTGACACCTGTGACTACTGCGCTCGTTGCACTCCTGTTCCTTTTGGCTCTTAATGACGTCATAATCCGAAGTTTTAGTGACGGGAAATCGAGCTTTGGTTTACAGCGTTCATTGTTAGAGGGTGTGTTGTTTCTGATTGTTATCCCTCCCGAAGAGTCGACGATCTGGCGAGTTCCGTAATCATCAACGATTGCAGCAATTAGCTTGCATAGAAAAATACATGGCTAAGCATTGATCTTGAACGCAAAATCCCCCGGCCACATCACAACAAATCCGCCGCGACTTAAAAGGGAGGAGGAGGAGTAGTCTCAGCACATTCACACTGCACAACTTTTACTCAGAAAGAACGTTGTCCTTGTCGGGCTTGCTGTCTGACTGGTTGGTTCCTCTTGTCAGCTCGATTGACAACTGCAGACATTGTCCACCGGAAAAGCCAAGGCCCAATGGATCGAAAGTATGAAGAGTTTCAAAGCGGAAATAGAACTTCAATCGAAATATGACAGCCCTAAGCCCTTCAGTGCCCTTTTTTGTGTCATACTTGTAAGTATTGAGAAAGTAAAAGTCAATTTTTTGTTCATTATCGTCCTTTTGGTGTGAAAACGCAGGGGGAATGCATCGTCATTAGCAATGCAAGAAGAGGGCAGCCGGCTGAGCTGCGCTGAGAACACGACGAATTATCGTCATGTGGTTAGAGTGAAATCGGAGAAATAACATGAAGCTCGCTGCTAATTTGCTACTGAATTAGCAGGGTACATCAACATGGCGGCTCTGTAGGTTCTGATAGACGAGTAGGAGGAGTAGGAGGGAATTGATGCTGTTATAGAACATGGGCAACTTGGGCGCAATCCGGTTGGAATTGCCAAGTGTCTATTTTATGGCCTGAATGGTCTGTCGTTCAGCAGCTCTGTGGCAATGAATCCTCCAGGAAAATTCTACAAATCTCCTGTCCCAGAGCCCTTTCTGCGCTCTTCTGGTGTCTCGAAGTCTCTTTTGGACTCGACTCCTTCACTATTAATTGCTCCAAGTTGGGGGAGGGCGTGGGCTCACCAACATGAGAGGCCTCATCATCTTCTAAACTTACCCAGAATTATTCATTTCTGCATTTCTTTACTTATTCAAATATTCAGTAACACGCTCATAAGCTCAAGATAAGCAAACAAGAAAACTATCTATAGGAAAACGCCGAGAAATTGAAAAAAGGGATGAAATATAGGACAAGCTAACTATAGAAATCGAACCAGTAAGCAAGTATCAGTACCAGTGCCTGCAGAAGGAGCGAAGCGTCAGGAGGTCGGAGTTAGAAACAGAAGTACGTGCTTGTTGAATTGCTCGTGAAGAAAAAAGGAAACGAAACAGTTGAAAACGCTCAAAATAAGGCCACATTTGTGCAAGGTGATAGAGAAAGAAACGGTATAGAATTGGGAGAGAGGTCAGGCAAAGCAGCGAGAGAGTATGTAAAAGAGCAAGACAGCAGACAAGAGAACTATCAATGGGGCGTACTCACTTCTACAACCTTGGGCTTTACCGCCGTTATCTTAGCACTTTTTGTTGTGAAACTCATACAGGGCTCGTTATAGTCTACGCTAACTCTCCCTATGAAGAGCTCAGATAATTCTAGATTATTGTGAGCTCTGCTTTTGATCCTGCTCCATTGTCGACCTGCTTTCAGATGGTCGATGGCTACTGGGGATTCCAATCTGCCAGCTGTTTACCACAGCCGATATCCTCTTATGTACATCATCTATACTGAACTTATGCGCTATAGCTATCGACAGGTAAACGTTCCACTCAAATTTCTCTAGAACAGTGGTCCTCTCTCATGAAATTTGCTTTTGAATTTTTTTTTCTTCCAGATACTGCGCCATACACGACCCAATAAACTACGCTCAAAAGCGAACGTTACGTTTTGTGTGCTGTGTGATTATTACGGTAGGAGACTACGGTATTATATTCCACGTTCATCTGCCCTTTTTATTGAGAGTTTACTAGTTTACTGAGTTATTTATAGTACTCAGAAAAGGCGATTCACCACTACACGCTATGTAGTGTGTACTACGCATCTGTACAACGCTCTTACGAGCCCGCGACGCGCTTTGAATTCCTCAATAATGATCATAACAGGCCAATTTTACATGGCCGCGAAAAGACAACTAGGCTAATTATGCTTAGTCTACACGGGTTTCCATGTAACAGCAGACTAGAGGGGGGCATTTTGTCGTCGCCGACACACAGGGAGTCGTTTCCGCTCGTTACGCAGTCTCAGCATACACTCATTCCCCTTTGCCGTGACATGGAACAGTCATGGGACTAAGCTCACTGAGAAAAGTTTTTTAGCAATTTTCGCATTTTGCAATGGTAACTTAAAGGTAAGGTAGAGGTAGAGAAGTCCTCAGGAAGACCAAAAATCTCATGGGAGTGTCCTATGAAGAGTGTGGCTCAGTGAGGCTGTTCACTTTCACTTACTCATTTCACTTATTTGTTATTGAATATACTTGTAATACACGCTAGAGTAAACGTATAGCTGCTGAGTGGATCAGATTTTACGCTCTGCCTACTAATGAAGTACCGTAGATGAGAAGTGCTGGACCGCTCCTCTTGAAAAAGTGTTTTTTATGGTTTTTTTTCTGATGCTTAGGATAAGTAATTTCATCTTTGATATTCCCATATCTGCCTCTAATAAGTGCCAATGAATGCTTTGAAAAAACTTTTTCCCGAGTTGCTGAGCTCTCACGAGCACGAGAAGTTTCGGAACGAGTGAGAGAAAGCCAGGCCCATTCGAAATGGATGAGACAATTAACACACTTTGCATTAACGCGAACAATGGTTAGATGTACTCGTCCGAGCACTTCTCGTCATCATTTCGTCGGAACTCCGCTAAATAGACACACACTTTCAGACCTAACTATAGGCACTCTCAAGTTCTTGAAAAAAAAACGTTCCATACGAAAAGTTGTAATTCCAAAGATCTGAGAGAAGGAGTCCTGAAAGTTCAGGAATCACACTTCACATCCTGAAGATGGAGGAGGTGTGGATGCGTACTTCAGTCGAACGTGGCTCCGATTGTGCTTTTGATGGGATATTTTTGCTTTTAAGCAACTCTAAGCATGACTATGTCTAGAACAAGATAAATGACAGTTGTTTCAAATGAAGTATCCCACGAAATATGCACCTACGCTTTGTTTGACCGAAATACGCAACCACGCCCTCTACAGCTTTGGGGTATGGAGTGTATCTCACGCGTCTTCTATCCAAGAAAGCTATCCAGATTAGAATCTGCGCCCTCAAACCGGGAACGTTGCGAGGATATTTTATAGAAATTTTGTTACTGAAGGATTCCCATTTTTGAGCCTGAAAAATTTCTCGTTTCAGGTATGGGTGCTATCCGTGATAATATCAGTGCCTCCATTGATTGGATGGAACGATTGGTCATCGCAGAAACTTCGAGATCATTGCGAACTCTCCTCAGAGAGGTGAGTATATTGAAATTTGAGCTTTATTAACTCTATTCACCCCCACTGAGGAATTCTAGCTAGGCTCATGTCAATGCAGAAGCTTTGAAATCGCCACCGATGGAAAAAAAGTGAAATTGTTTCAAGTCTGGCGCTATTCGCCTTGTGGGACCTCATGAATAATTAGCGTCTGATAATGGGATTACCCCAGCGCGAACCTCTTTGGGTGACCCACTAAGCTCCTTCCCACTTTTTTCCTTAGTAGTTGGCAAGTATTTTTACGACCCTGAGGTAGTACAAGTTTTGCACAAGGAGTTCTTTGAACGCCTCTTATAAGAGCAGCTACCAAAGTTTTCCTTTCATGGTGAGATTGGAATCTGGTGCCCTGTGTAGTTCGTCAGCACTAACATTTCATGATGACTCAGGCAGGCTCTGAGAAATATGTTAGCCCTCCTCAAGAGCTAATTCCGCCCACATGCCTCATGCCTCATCACATAATAAACGCCTACATAAAGTAACTACTCTGTAGGGCAAGTACACATTAGAGGAGGTCGATGTTGTAGAGTCCAGTGCAATTAGCTAGGTCGCTGTCCAGGACTCCGTAATCTTGCGAACGCTCTTGCCTGGCTTCCTCTGAGACGGTTAAGCCTTTGTTTCATTCGAAATTTGCATTTTACTTAAATTTCCCACCACTATAAAATCCCTATGAAACGGCAATTAGGGAGCGCTTCTCGTAAATTTAATGACTACATATGAAGCATTTTTACGGCATTCTCATGAATACATGAGTGTCTCGGTTGTCATGTGAGACACGAGAACTTACTGAAAAAGGGTGAGGTGTTCATTAAGTGTGCTTCAGCTTAGAATTATACGGAATTGTATGAAATTACTCGTGGTAAAAAAATATGTGAGCAAGAGTTTGTCTTTTTGGAAGGGAGCACACGTGTCCATTTTACCATTCATTGCTCTTCTTTCAAAGACGAAAAAGCAATTCGTTTTGGCGTCCGGCGATCATGAGTCACTCACTAATTGCTGTGTCTTACGCGGAACACCTCATCCGGGAATAGCTTCTTCATGTCAAATGGGATACCTGGTGAAAGAAAATATTGTTGAAATGTCACCCAGATTGACATTCTCTTGTACAATAAGACAGGAGGATTAGTAGGAACTTGCTTTACCAGGAAAAGCTTCTTCTTTATAGATTGCATATGTCAGAGAGATATCGCTACTTTGCTACATGAACGGTAATGAGTAAACCTCTCTAGACGAGTTCCCTGCCATTTTTGAAGTAAATGGGTTTTCACTCCTGTAGGGAGTAGAAACCGTTCTTGGTTTTACGAAACTAAAAATTCATTCTTCCTCAGAAGCACTGAATCAAACCGTAGTAGACAAGGGAGTCTGAAAATCTGGAGACCTTCAGCAGGACATGTTCTGTCGTTGGGAAAATCCTTGCAAGGAAACCGGCCCCCTCGACTCTTCCTCCTGTGGACCCCCTCCCCTCTTTTCCATCCTACCTACCTTCTGAATTTTCCCAGACGACTGCTACTTTTCCGCTTTTTTTCGGGACTTCTTCCATTTCTTCCCCGAAAAATGGAAAAATGCCATAAATTGTAGGAGAAAAGAATAGGTTCATGGCGTTCAAAGAAAAAAAAAGGAGAAAAGTCCACAACGAATATATCTTTTACCGAAGGTACGTCTTCCTTCCCTCCAGCGACCAAATACGATCCCATCGCCGGGGATCCCCCATATACGGCCTGCCCTTACCCTGAAAGTTATCAAATATAGCCTGGGAATAAAAAAGGCGCTCAACCATAAGATTCAGATCTTGTGCTATCTCATTAGATTTAAAGATCTCTTTCAACAGAGAAGAGCGGTGTAATTTAACTTTTGAGAGTGGCGTACTTTGTCTGTTGAATTTTTCCAAATGGCATTTCTTCAGCTTCAGGCGTGCTATCTGCAGTCTTGCTCGCTTCAAACGCTGGGGCGTGCCAGTTAGCTGGCTTTGGCGTGCGGCCAGTCCTTTCTCCACCAATTGATGTTGCTTGTCCGCTTGGTGGAAAACGGGTTGGTGCGTCTCGGTCCCCCTGACACGCTCCAGCGTCTACAGGCGTACAACACTGTACTCCCTCTTAGCAGGCGATATCGGTTTTTGCCGTTTCTAGTCGTTTATCAGAAGTATGTCTACCCCCCCCCCTTCTCCACCTATTTTCGGAAATGGGTCAAATTTCTCAATACTCCCTAACCCAACGATATGTCCTGTACCGAAACATGGCTCAAATTTGTGAGGGCTGCGTGCGTGATCCACTGCTATTTGCGAAGCTGAAAGTAAGGAAGTGGCGATGGGTTGATTCCTTGGGCTGCCGCCAAGTGCGGCTCTCGATGAACTTCGGCATTGTAGTAGCTTAATATTTACTTCTTTCGAAACTTCACACGAAGCTGTTGTGAACAGCAGTCTGCTATTCCAGCAGGATTGTCTTCTTGGGAGCCTGAAACATGGAAACCGAGTCGTGATCCATGCTATCAAATGTCATACCACCCTACAAGACCTTCGAGACTTACTGGTCGTTAGGCTGCGTTTATAGCCTGCGACTGGAGCCGGCAGTCGCGCGATTCAGGATTCGCGCGAATTCGAAGGACCGCGCTACACCGCTAATCGTTGGACCGCTGCAACTGCTAACTTAGACGCAGTCACCATGAAATTTACTTCGCACTTTGCAAAGTAAGAGCGCGGTCCTAGGCTCTTGACTTTTCTGCTTTCCGGAACTCCACGGCGATCTCGATGTTAGCAGCGAAAATAAAACGCGCGAATTCTTTTCCAAGAGTTCAAAGGACTCGAAAAGTCCAGAAGGCTTCTCAAAATCTTTTCTTCAAAAGCCCCGTGCTTAGCAGGTTAGATATCTTTAAAAATAACGAATATCTTCTCTTTCAGTCGGAACAACGTACCCCTTTTAACTCAGAGGGATAGTTCAACGGGTGACGTCGTACTTATGGAATCGATAAGCAGTCAAATAACATTTTCAAACACGCTTTTGTTTGAAAAAAAATTTCTTCAGATTCCATCCAGTTTCCAGTTCACATTTTGAGCAGTCGCCCATTTATGCAATAGTTCAAAAACTGCCATAAAATCGGGAAACCGGAAATGAAGTCGTTGTTTTCTTTTTCCTTTGAGACACATATTCTTGACAGACGAAAATTTTAAAAGTGCCCAAAAAAATTAAATTTCGAAGAGCCAAAACAGATGGCTCTGCTGTTTAGAACGAGGCGGACCACCCAAGGACGATGTTGGGGTGTTGAATTGATTTCCATTATATATAATAAAGTCAGTGTCTGTCAGCGGGATGTGTGCAGAACTCTATTTAGTTTTCCATCTGCAGACTGGCAATATTTTCACCCCGCTAACCAAAATTAGAAACGCCAGCCGCGTCATCTGCAGAACAACCTGGGAACACTCGGGTACATTCCACTAAAGTTCCCGCACCAAACGCAGTTGTACTGCACAAATGTCATGGATGAAGAATTTCCTCACTCTTTGTTTATAGCTATGTTGGGTTTCATATTCACGAAGATCACATTGCTTTTTACTTCACCATCTTCACTTGAAATTTACTCTTCTATTTGTAATGAAACCAACACTGAAGACCATGCTAGTCTGAAACTATACCTTTTGTTTTTGGAACAGATGCAAAATAGCGCTGCAACTGGTGCAGTACCAAAAGAATATTATCATAATCGTGACTAGAGCGTCGAATAGTTCTATAGACGTACAACTAACTGAAAAGATTAGGTGTTCTTCCAACTGGGACCACAGCAATTGAAGTCAACCTTCAGTTGTAGCACGTGCTTCCTTCACGCGCGCACTAAACCGATTGCTCCGACCGATTTCCACCCTTCTTTGAAAGCCACAAATACAAAGGAGGAGTTCATTCAGCGTAGTAACTTCTTTATGGCCGCCGTGTATTGTTCTATGGCAGCATCCGTTCAAGATGGTGAAACTTCAACATATGATGATGGAAAAACCATTGAAATGTCCTTACAAGAGATTTCCTGGGACTGGACCGTCTACTCTCTTTCAGGCTTCTTGCCTTTGACAAGGCTAATGATCTTCAGTGGAAGGAGAGAGACTGGCGTTTTTCAGAGCTCCTCTTCTTAGTGCGCGTCATGACGATTTCCCCGCAAGTCGGGTCGAATTTTCCCAAACGTCAGTCCAAGCTAAAAAATAAAGGATAAATCGTTGCCAGTGCTTTTTGGGAGTTCCAGACGTGTCTAGTACCAAATTACCGTTCCGGAGGAAAGAAGGCTCGTTAGCCTGGGCAGGGGCCGACGCCGCTAGAAAGCGTGCCACTTGCCACTACACTCCGCTTTCTGAGGACCGGTATTTCACAAAATTCAGATGCCCATAAAATGAGAGCACAATTTCAAATAAAATAACTGGTAGAGTATGAGACAGGGCAGGGCAGAATTTGAAAATAATAAAAATTCTTGTATCTTTCCTCTAATTTTTTTTGTCTTTTTTATTTCGACTCTGATTCTAGGAGCCGACGAAATGTAAGCGCACCTACGAGTGCATTTAATAAATGAACAAAAAGATAAATAAGGTGGACCCCTTAACTTTTGTGAAACGGAAAAAGTTTTTTGGTTCGGAGCGGAAGGCTCTCCGAAACAAAAAAAGTGTCAATAATTTGTATTCTTGAAAGCATAGATAATTGAGTAGGTACTTAGATGTGCTGCACCTCTAAGAGGTCCAATGCTCTGTCCGCTTTCACTGAGAACAAATTTTCATGATTCAACGCTCCGTTCGGAGAATGACGTAGTCCAAAAAAAAGAGAGGTGCGGCAGAAACTGATAGTTGGATGCATCATAATGGAATATAGATATTGCGTAGCAAATAAGTAAAAGTAAAGACTCAGGGGTCGAAAGTTAAAAAGGGAATGGTAGATCAAGTAAGACCTTACTTAGGGAATACCACAGAAAATAAACGGCAACCTCCCAGCGAATAAAAAAAAATTTTTGCTTCTAGAAATGTATCTGAAATCGTACAAAAAATAATCCACCATGGTTTTCAGAGCGTTTGTCGTTTTCTCAGCATCGGGTTCATTTTTTCTACCTCTACTTGTTATGGTTGTCGTCTATGTGAAGATCTTCATAAGTGCAAGGCAGCGAATACGGAACAAATCGAGGTCGGTATCGTTTTTACAAATGTAAATGAACGAGAAACAAAATATATATAAGAATTATAGCTGTAGAGATGCTATATAAAATCATATGAAAGTTGTATTATTTTACATTCAGTTGAGAAGTGGCGACATTTTATCCCAATTGCCCCACTCTTCGGAGTTCTGGCGAGGGTCTCATTGAAATTTTGCGGCCAAGAATAGATTTGGCCAGACTCTGTCTCTGGTGTATTCTGATTCGCTGCGTACGAATGTTGGTATCATCTATGAATGAAAAACGCCTGGAGGGGCAGCACCGTAGGCCATATTTTACGCCTGGTACCCGTTAAGACATGGCAAGCGTTTTCGCAAAGCGAATGTGATATTTTTGTTCAAGGGCTCTCACTACAGCTTTTCAGACAAGCTTTCTGTATAATGTGGTTTGAGATGTTTTGGTGCCGGAGGCCTGTGGCGCACACGCCAAGCTGTTTCGGGAGACGGGCAGGATATCGTCAATTTGCCGGCTTCGACGCGTGCGCGATGGGCCGTGGCGTTCTCTTAACTTGTTTCATACTTTCGATTAGAGCACCGGAATTCATTAAACGCGTCATCGTAGACATTCATGCTATTTTTCGGTTCCGAATTGCCTGTGTTGGCCATCTACTACCTGGGACCGTCGCATTTGGCTGGCGCGACGTCGCACGGCGACCGCCCACAGCGGCGCGAAATTACGATTATCTTTGTCACATACCAGCTGTTTCGAGCCAGTGACTGTGATGTGCTGTACAGAAGGGCCAGACATCGCCAGAAAGATAGGTTTCCGTTTACCAATTCTACACACGAGGAAAAACTATTGACTAAGATCTGGCTGTATTCGAGCAGTATTAGATGTGAACCGTGCAAACAAATGATAAACTGATGTGGTGTTTTCGCAAGAATTTAGCGCAATAGTGTCCAGTCCTCTCTTCATAAATCCTCGGCATTAATTGGTGAACCATGTGCAGTTTTTTATTTATTGGGACCGAAAAGGTTCTTAGGTAGAAGATTTTATTTGAGAAATGCTCTGGACGTTTCGATTTAGATGGTCCTAGAGGCAAGTCTACCAGCCACCATGAGTGGGGGGGGATTGCCACTCGCTGTTATTTGCTAGTTAGCAAAAACAATTCAGCTTGCGACAGTTGCCACTCCACTGTTAGTATAGGTTAAGTAAAATTCCTGTTGGTACCGAACAGGGCACGCACAGATAATTCTTGAAACTTCAATTCTGATCAATACCGTCGAACGAGGATGGAGTGGGCGGGCGTCTTGTGCTCCATCAGTTTTTCTATTATCTTATTTTTTTCTATATTTTTATATTTTTTTTATTTATTATTTTTTCTTTTTTATTATTTTTATTTTTTTTTTTTTGTTCTTTTTTTTTTTTTTTTGTTTTCTTTTATCTTGTACTTGTATTTGTTTTTATTTTTTATTTTTTTTTATTTTTTTTTTTTTTTTTTGTTTCTTTTACTTTTTTTGTTTTTCTTTGTTATTTTATATATTGTGATCTTATTTTTTTTTTTCTTTTTTTTTTTTTTTCTTTTTATTTATATAAGTTTTCTAATTTATGCTTATATATATTATTTTTTTATTCTGCTTTTTGATGCGTGTTTTATGTTATTTTTCTCTCTTTTTTTTTTTTTTTTTTTTTTTTTTTTTTTTTTTTTTTTTTTTATTTTTTTTCTTTTTCTTTCTTTTTTTTTCTTTTTTTTTTTTTTTTTTTTTTTTTTTTTATTTTCTTTTTTTTTTTTTTTTTTTTTTTTTTTTTCTTTTTCCTCTTTTTTTCTTTTTTTTTTTTTTTTTTTTGTTTTTTTTTTTTTTTTTTTTTTTTTTTTTTTTTTTTTTTTTTTTTTTTTTTTTTTTTTTTTTTTTTTTTTTTTTTTTTTTTTTTTTTTTTTTTTTTTTTTTTTTTTTTTTTTTTTTTTTTTGTTTTTTTTTTTTTTTTTTTTTTTTTTTTTTTTTTTTTTTTTTTCTTTTCTTTTTTTTTTTTTTTTTTTTTTTTTTTTTTTTTTTTTTTTTTTTTTTTTTTTTTTTTTTTTTTTTTTTTTTTTCTTTTTTTTTTTTTTTTTTTGCCTCTCCTCCTTCTCCCTTTCCTCTTTCAGCCATTGTGTCAGTAGACGTCGTCAGCGAAAATGTTTGTCTACGTCGAGGATGAGGTACTCAGTGGGCAAATGGCACGCTTACCACTCGGGCGCCGCCCGAACTCAGTCCCGGCGTCTAACTCTCCCCCCCGCCTTGTCACACCCACACAAGCAACTATGTCCCGGGACGCGCAAAATTGTGCTATGTGGATAATGTGTGCTTGGATGATGAAAGCCCCTGGACGTCGTACATGGACGTGGATAACGCACATGCGGTTTGTAGGGCGCACTAATGAGCGGTTACTATTCTGAATGTATTTAGAAATGCGTGCTGCATCTCAGTAACGGGAAATTTATCATTTTTTTTACCTACCGTATTCCTACGCCCGTCCACATTTCGCTTCAGACAGTCGTCAAAAAATCGCTGAGCTCAGCTGGCACCCGTTTGCTAACCGATTTCATTTGCCAGACCTTACCGCTTCTGATTAGAAATTGCCACGGCTACTGAGCATCGCCTATGAGAAAGAGGGTCAGAATTTCTGATGCCCTCACAATGGTGGTGACTTCAATCAGTGACTTCTTGCAATTGCACATCGGCAAGCGCCTAGGTACTAATGGCGTTAAAACGACTGAGAGTGAAAACCATGGCGCATCCCGAGGAGTTACTTACCAACGCCAAAAATTTATCTTTCCAGACATTTGATTGAAATGTACCATAGAGACAAAGTAAATTATCACTAAAAGCCAGGTACATCAAAAAACAGCCCTTAGTCTTTGAAACTATTCAACAGTACCTTCAGGACCTTGCAGTACCAATCCCAGTTTTTTCATGTCCGAACGCGAACTGCTATTTATT